CAACTGGAATGTGCTGCAGTGAGTGGGTGTGGTTGGCCCCCATGATCTCCATCCCTGAGGTTACACCTTTGAATATGTTATATCAAATGGCAAAAGAAAATTCAGGTTATAGATGGAATTAAAATTGCTAATCAGTTGACCGATGGAATTAAGGTTGCTCATCAGTTGACCTTAACATAGAGAGATGGTCCTGGATTATCTGGGTGGGCCCAGGGTCATGACACGGGCCCCTAAAAGTAGAAGAGGGAGGCAAGTGAGTGAGTCAGGGACAGAGGCAGCCAAAGAGACAGGCAGAGGGAAGATGCGAACACGGAGTCCAGGTGCTGCTGCTGGGTTTGAAGATGGAGAAAGGAGGCCACAAGCCAAGGCATGAGGGCAGCTCCTGATGCTGGGAACAGCCCTCGAGTGACAGCCAGCAAGGAAACAGGGCCTCAGTCCTATAACTACAAGGGACTGAATTCTGTAGATAACCTAAATGAGCGAGGAAACGGAGCCCCTAGAGTCCCAGGAGCCTGCTCACACCTTGATTTCAGCCTGCTGAGACCGGTTTCAGATGTGTGACCTAGAAAACTGTATAGAAATAAATGTGTGCTGTTTTAACCTGCTAATTTTGTGATCGTGTGTCATGGCAGCCATATAAAATGAACACAGTGAACAGTGGATAAAGAGGTGGGGTGTGCAGAGGAGGCAATCCAGAGGAGAGGGAGCAACCAGGCAGGAGCATCCTGCTGGGAGCCACCATCACAGGGCCACAGCTCCCCAGACACCCCCAGACACCCCACGCAGGACTCAGCACTGCCCTTCAGGCCCCCTGTTGCCCATGTCGTGACCAAGCTTGCTTAGTTTCTTTTTATTTTTCTTTTTGAGATGGAGTTTCACTCTTGTCAGCTCACTGCAACCTCCGCCTCCTGGGTTCAAGTGATCCTCCTCAAGCCTGTGTAGATGTCCCCAGGGCTCAGCCTCTAGGTCCTCAGGTCTCAACAAGGAGCAAACACAGCAGAGGTCCTCCCATTCTTGACATCTCCCCTTAACCTTCTCTCCCCTAGGGCTGGCGACAATGGTCCTGGTGGAATAACCTTGCCCCAAGCCAGCCAAAGCCACTGCTGGATCTGCGGACCCCTGAGGCTGGGTCTGGGCTCTGATTTCTTCTCAGAACAGGTCTACATATATGTACATATGCACACACACATGCACACACACACATACACACACACACACTCCAGTTTCCTCTGTCTGCTCTTTACAACCTCCTCCCATCCACCAAGTCCTCAAGGCAGAGAGATCCTGCCCATTGACAGTGAATGCATGTTGAACACTAACACATCAGGCACCACACTAAGTGTTCTACTCACATGATCTCATTTAATCTTTCCTGTCATCCTATCAGGTGGACACAATTGGCTTAGAGAGGTTAGACACTATTGGCCTATTGTCACATAGCTGGTGAGGGGTAAATCCTGGATTAGAGCACACCAAAGCCCAGGCTCTAACCCTCACCACTCAAAATATGGTCCATGGTCCAGTAGTATCAGCATCCCCGGGGATCACGTTAGAGCTGCTCATCCCAGACCTGCTGAATCAGAACCTGCATGTTGACAAGTCCCCAGGTGACTCACCTACTAGTTTCCATTTGGGAAGCACTGGTCTAAACCACTGCTTTCCAAAGCCTGCAGGTTGCAGGTTCTTGTAACCAGCCCTCCCTCCATCTTTCAGTCCCTTCCCGGCTGCCTGGCTTTTGCTCTCCAGGTGAGGCAGGCCCTCTGCCCAGCCTTAGGGAAGAATTCATGGCATGGGGCTCAGAGGGAGTCTCCAGGCCCCTACAGCCAGCCCAGATGACAGCTGGACAACATCAGTCTGGTCCTTTGTAGGGCACCCTGCCTGCTGCCTGAGACGCTCCTGGCCTCTCCCTCTGGTCTTCCTCCTGGACTTCCTCCCTCCCCAACTCCTAGAATGTCCTCTGCGTCATGTCACCGCCTCTATCTGGACACACAGGGCCTGTCCAAGTTGCTATCAGGAGAGAGGCCAGGGACTGCTTGGGAAACCTGGCCAAGGTCACAGGAAATGTCTGACACCACCAGGCAAGCAGGATTTGGTCTCCTAAAACAAAACACAGCTGGGCTAGCAGCTGGGCCAACAACAGGGCACTCCCAGATTTCATAGCATTGAGGCCGCAGGGCACACAGAGACTGGCTGGCCTAAAGGCTGCAGCTCATTAAGAACATCACAGTAGCCCCTGGCCAGGGAGCCTGTGAAAGTCAAAGAGGACAGACCTGCTGTGGGCCAGAGACCTCACCCAGGACCTCAGCCCTCCACTGCCTGTCACATACAGGAAACCTTCGCTGGGGGGTGGAAGGCTCACATGGCATCCTCCTTGCCTCGCAGCTTCCCCTCACCCCATCATTTATTTATCTATTTAACTTACACTGATTGAGCACAGAAGTGTGCCAGGTGTGGTGTTAGGTACCAGGGACACATTCGTGAACGAGGGTCCCATCTGGACCCTCGGCCTGGATGGATCAGAACAAGGCACCACTGGCACTGCCCATCTGCTCACAGCCAATCCCAGGCTCTCACTGTTATCAATCTGGGGCCCCTTAGCTCTGCTCCTTGTTTCTGCCCCCAGCACCCCTGGGCCTTGGCTGCAGGGTTTGGCTTTTCTGCTCTTGACCTTGGTGCTCCCTAGGCCCTTGACCTGAGTCCATCGTGTGAACCCCGGGGTAGCTCCCGATCCAGTGAGCATATGAACAGACCATCTGAAGGCAGTGTGAAAAGCGCTGCGCTAGGGAAAGATGGAACACCTGCCTTGGGAACTGGCAAGGGCTTCACCTCCTCCTGTCCTCTGAGCAGCACATGGGGTAGTGCCCTTGGCTGCAGGTACGGGCTGAGGGTTCAATGCCAAGAGGGTGCTTTTGTTAGGCTAACTCTGTAGTTTGGACCCAGTGTCAGAACAAATATGGACTGAACATTTTCAATGGGCGAGGCACTGTTGGGGGAGCTGTAGGGAAATCCAGAGTGTAGGACCCTGGATCTACAAGCACTGCGGGTGCAGGACGCAGATGCACAGTTTGCAGGCTGGAGAGTAAGTGCTGCAGGGGCCAGATAGCCAGGGAAATGTGATTCACCTTGAAGAATCGGGAGGAGTTAGCTGGGAGGAAAGATGCAGCCGGGAGCTTCAAAGGGCTCTGACTCAAGACTGTGACAGGCATAGTGACTTGCCCAGCAACCCCCGCTCCCGACCAATGCATCATAAATGGATGAATCCCACAAACCACAAGAGACATGGAAAGCTCTGCTGGGAGGACTCTGTGCCCACCCTGGCCCTTGAGCTGGCACCTCAAGTATTCTTCCAAGTGCCTTACACCAAGCTTACCACCTGGGACCCTAATCTGGGCGGGACTGATCAGAACAAGGCACTGGCACTGCCCACCTGCTCACGCCCAATCCCAGGCCCTCACTCTCATTCATCTGGGGCTGCTTAGCTCTGCTCTTTATTTCTGCCCCAGCATCCCTGGGCCTTGGCTGCAGGGTTTGGCTCTTTTGCTTTTGACCTTGGAGCTCCCAGGCCCTTGACCTGAGTCCATCCTTTCTTTCTCCCTGCTCCTAGCTGCCCTTGGAAAACATCTGCTTGGGTGCCCGGGGCCTGGAACCCAGCTCACCAAGACCCTGGTCTGCCTGACCTCACCCGTTCCCAGAGTTCCTGAATACGCTCAACCTCCTTTCTTTGCTCTCCCTCCTACTCAGCCAGTCTCTCCTGACCTTTCCTGCTGAGGCCTAACCTCAAGGTCAGCCTCCTCTGCCTGCTTCTCCTGGCCTCTGAGAGGGCAAATCCTCTCCCCCTTTATTTCAGCAAGGCAAGGTTGCAACATTTCAGAAACAACTTCTTAAGTAGGAAGCGAATGGAAAAACTAACCTGAAAAACGAAAAGGAAAACACAGTCCCCTAGAAATGGACCGGTTTTTAAAGTTCAGATTTCCTGTCCTGAGCTAGAAAAAGTCTAGCCAGATTGGCTGGCAAGCAGGCCAGGGAATCCTGCCCGGAACACTCCCCTTGTTCACTTTTCTTTCTACTCCCTTCCCCCACACACTCCTTCTCCTCCCTTGTAAGGAGAGAGGCCGAAGCTGGGGCAGAGGAGTCCTTCCTACATCATAGGGACCACAGGTGGAGGAGGAGGAGGCCAGGGATGGGGTAGGGGAGAACAAGCATAAATAGCTTCCATATGTGCCAGGCACTGCTCTAAGCACTTTCCTTATATTGACTACTTTAATCTTCATTTATTTATTTTTGAGGCAGAGTCTTGCTCTGTTGCCCAGGCTGGAGTGCAGTGGCGTGATCTCGGCTCACTGCAACCTCCACCTCCTGGGTTCAAGTGATTCTCCTGCCTCAGCCTCCCAAGTAGCTGGGATTATGGGAGCCCGCCACCATGTCTGGCTAATTTTTGTATTTTTAGTAGAGATGGGGTTTCACCATCTTGGCCAGGCTGGTGTCAAACTCCTGACCTCATGATCCACCCACCTTGGCCTCCCAAAGTGCTGGGATTACAGGCGTGAGCCATTGCACCCAGACGATTAATTTAATCTTTACGACAATTCATAACACAGGTATTACCATTGTTCCCACCTTACTGATGCAGAATCCGAGGCAGAGAGGTAAGTGACTCACCTGGGGTGGCCCATCTGGGAGATGGCAAAGCTAGGCTGTGAGCCAAGAGGCTGTGGCCCCAGGTACATGCCCTCCTCAGCTTCCTTTCAGGCACTCGAGGGTGGCAAAAACTTCACTTCCCTCCTCTTTCCACCCTAGCCTGGCAACACCCATGCCAGCCTCAACACCTACTCTCCTGCTCATATCTCCGGACATGTGAGGGAGAGCCGAGGAGGGTGGGGAGGAGGGAAGGTGACTCTGAGGCCTTCTCCACCAGCCTTTACCAAACCGTCTGAAGGAAGAAGCCCCTCCAAAAAGATTCTGAGCCCCGGACCCCGAGCCCCACAGAGAAGAGGACTTACCCAGCCGGCGGTGACTGTGGTGCAGGCGGCTGTGCTCTGGCCACAGTGCCCTCTCCGACCGCGCTGCTCCTGCGCAGGTTGGGTGAATGCTCGGCCCAGCGTCGAGGAACCAGTCTGGAGTTCTGGGGGTCAAATTCCTCATCAGGAATGACCTCCTCGCAGCGGGCTCCACGGAAGCCGGAGCGGCAGACGCAGAGCTGAGGGCGGCTGCAGGAGCCCCGGTTTTGGCACGGTGGCTGGCACACGGCTGAGGACACAGGGAGAAAGGTGACAGCATTGGCCATGGGGTACTGAGACCACAGCTGCCCATACCTGCCTGTTAGAAGAGCCTACTGAGTGCTGCTGACCCCACTGCTCAAGCAGGAAGCCTCTTTCCTGGCCTCAGAGGGCTCCCTGACCCACATCTCTCCTGCTTTCATCCACAGACCCCCAGGATGAGTTCACCACTAATCTTTGGATAACCAAAGACTGCGTGGCCACAGCCCACAGAACACCCTGAAGAGGAAGTGCAAGCCTGACACTGTGTTTACAATGAAACGTTCACTCCCACCAGACTGGAAGTCCCATGAGGGCAGCCCCAGAACTTAGAATGGGACAGTCACAGAATAGATTCTCAGTAAGCATGAAGTGAATAAATGAATGAATCAGTCTCTTTTATGGAAAAGGACCCAACATCGGCCTGAAATTCAAGCGGTTTGAGTTGCTGGGGTTTTCCCGTCACTCGTGAGCTGTGTGGTCTTGACTTCACTGAGCCTCTATTTGCTCCTAAATCATGGGAGCAGTGAACTAAGGAGGTTGGAGGACTCTAAGGGTCCTTCAAAGGCATCTTCAACTTGACAGTCTCACCTCTCCTTCCATTGCTCTCCGTCTGCTGCCATCCTTAACAAGGCAGAACTCCCGACTATGGCTGGAGAAAGCCCAGTGGCCAGAACGCAGCTACCAGCACCACAGCCTCTGCCGGCCAGGTAAGTCCCCTCCTCTGTGGGGCTTCCGTTCAGGGCTCAGGTTCTCTCTGGATTCTGCCTCCTGGGCTGTGGGTCCAGCCGGGGGCAAGGTGGAGCTGAAATGGGCCCTTCTCCCAGTCAGCCCTATGCAGCATTAGCCACCAGCTCCCCAAGCTGACTCCTCTCTTCATTGTCCGTCATCCCCTTGTAAAGTCCAGAGCTACAGCCAGTGATTCATGACCAAGGGAACATCCCACACAGAGGCACACACTGGGATGCAGAGTCCTGCCCCTCCCCCACCAGGACCTCCACCAGGGAACACATGTGAGCTAGGCAGCATGGTCTGGCTCACACTGGACCCTCGAAACCCAATGCCTCATTCATCTGTCACTCATTCATTCAACAAATAGTTGTTGAGCCCTAGTCAGTGCCAGGCAGTGGGACAAAGTCCTTGTCGGCCTGGGGCTTGCAGTGGAGTGAAGGACACCAACAGGAAGCAAGGAAACAATAGCATGATGTGGTGTCAGGCAGCTTCAAGGGCTGTGAAGACAATTAACCCAGGTGACGCAGGGGTCCAGGCCCAACCAGGAGACTCAGATGGGGTGGCCAGGGCACCTCTCTGAAGAGAGAAATGGGAGTATGCAAAGGAAGTGGACCCCCAAAGATCTGGGCAGTCTTCCAGGCAGAGGGCGAGGTGAAGACCAGGCCCTGGAGCCTGGAAGGAATATGGCATGCTTGAGGAGCCGCCAGAGACCCAGGGAGGCTGGGGTCTGATGGCAGATTAGGTGTAGGCAAGGTCAGTGAGGAAGTAGAGGCAGACACACAGACCCTGTCATCCCAGGGATCCTAAGTGCACCTGTGAAACTTCCAGGCACCACTACCTAGACCAGGTGCCTGGGTTTTGTGAGCTGAACTCTCCTTTCGGAGAATAGTACCAGAATCCAAACCGGGGTCTGGCCTGGATAAACACCTCCAAAATTCCACATGGCCCTTGTCACAGAGACCTTCAATGGCTCCCTGGTGTCTTCAAGGTTCAAGTCCATAGACTAGCACTGAAGACTATCCGGGTCTGATCCCCTCTAACATTCCTCTAAGTCAGCCTGCCTGCTCCAGCCTAACTGGCCTGCTGGCTGTGGCCCCGGGTAGCCTCTGCTCTGTCTTCTCTATGTCTTTGCAGGTGCTATGTCCTCTCTTCTTCTTCTTTTCTTTCCTTTTTTTTTTTTTTTTGAGACACAATCTCCCTCTGTCACCTAGGCTGGAGTGCAGTGGCACCATCTCGGCTTACTGCAACTTCCGCCTACCAGGTTGAAGTGATTCTCCTGCTTCAGCCTCCCAAGTAGCTGGGGCTACAGGTGCTTGCCACCATGCCCAGCTAATTTTTTGTATTTTTAGTAAAAATGGGGTTTCACCATGTTGGCCAGGATGGTCTCGAACTCCTGACCTTGTGATCCACCCACCTCAGCCTCCCAAAGTGCTGGGACTACAGGTGTGAGCCACCGCGCCAGGCCCGCCCTCTCTTCTTTCCCACTTCCTCTCCATTTACCTGACTCCTACTGGTCCCTCAAGGCCCACTTCCCCATCCGGACACCCATCTCTCAGCAGCTGCTCCCTCCTTTGACCAACAGGAAAAAACCTGCCATGTTCACCCTCCATGGGGCGTGCCTGCTCGCTGCCATTAGTTCTTTATGCATGTGTCTCAATTTCCTAACTCATATAGCCAGCTCCTTGAAGTGTAGTGACTGTCTCTTATACCTCTTTGTATGTTTAGCTCCTAACATACGCCTCACAATAACACGATTATTATCATTTTTATTATGGCAGCTGCTATCTGATGAGTGTTGACAACAAGCCTGGCACTGCATCCTGCATACATGCTGTCACCGAAGCCTCTCAACAATCCCATGCGGCCATGCCCCTGTGGCTCGCCATAACTCACTTAGCTCCGGCTCTGCCTTGCTTACTAATAATATCTCCCAAAAACATTTAGCAAGCACCTTATCTTGATCAAACTGAGTGCCAAGGGCAGAAAGGTGAACAAGACTGGGCCCTGCATGGGGGAAGCTCTGACCAATGGGGGTTCGCACTTTCCAAGAAGGGAATTTGATCCTCAGTGAGGGTTAGGGCTGGCAACTACAAATTGGGACTATGATTCCCAATTTACAGATAATGCTGGTGAAGCTCAGAGAGGGTAAGAGACTTGCCTGAGGTCACCCAGCTAGTTAATGGTGGAGCCAGGATTCAAATTCAGTTCTGTGTGATTGGGAAGCCCAGGCTCTTTCCACCCCACTGACTCCCAGCCAGGTGGGGATGGTTCTTCCTTTTCCTCTCTACCATCTCTGAGCCTTGGCCTAGAGCTGATAAGGAAACAAAGGGGATCTGTTGGCTTCAAATCAGCCACCAAATGCACCCTTGAGAACTCTGCCCTGAGAAAATGCACATCCCAATTGGCCTTGACAGTGGAGGCCCCAGGACCCCATGACCTTCCAAAGCCCACACAGAATTTTAAAGTAATGACAGAGGATGTACATCAGCTCATGGGTTTATCCAGTGAACTTTCATAGAGTGTGCACTGGGTGTGCAGCTTGGGATAGAGTCTCTAGCACACTGTTTGACACAGAAAGCAGAACACACAGGTTATAGGACAAGTGCTATGTCGACTGGACCCTCTAACCCAGGCTGAGGCACAGAGTAGGGAAAGTCAGGGAAGGCTTCTTGAAGGAGGTGATGTTGACCAGAGACACAAAGGATGAGTGAATTGGACATTGTGGACCAAGGGCATTCAAAGACCAGTCTATCCTCAGAGAGTTAGGGAAGTAACCAGTTTACAGGTTTCTTTTCCCTTTTATTATTATTTTTTTTTTGAGACGGAGTCTTGCCTTGTCGCCCAGGCTGGAGGGCAGTGGCATGATCTCAGCTCACTACAACCTCTGCCTCCTGGGTTCAAGCGATTCTCCTGTCTCAGTCTCCTGAGTAGCTGGGATTACAGGCACACACCACCATGTCTGGCTAATTTTTGTATTTTTAGTAGAGACAGGCTTTCACCATGTTGCTTAGGCTGGTCTTGAACTCCTGACCTCATGATCTGCCTGCCTCGGCCTCCTAAAGTGCTGGAATTACAGGCATGAGCCACCGCACCTGGCCAGTAACAGATTTCAATAGCATTCCAACCACAAGTTGGGCTCCAAGGCCAGAGCCCATTTCTCCGTGCCCAGGCACCTCTTCCTGGCAGGCCCCAGGCCTCTAGGTAAGCAGACCATGTCAGAGAATCATAACCCAGAGCACTTCCCCAAACACAAACTGCCACCACAGCAGGATTTTGGCCTGGCCACCCCTCCATCTGCCCAAGCAGACTTAGCCCCCACCTGACCACCTGCCAGGCCCCTGTCACCACCACCACTGGAAACACGGTCAGCTGGGGCCAGCCCAGCAGCCACGCCAGTGCTAGCGAACATGGAGGAAGCAGACATGCCCAGGGCAGGTCTTGGCCTTGGTTTTTTTTTTTAGGGAGGGAATAGAAAGGGAAGGCCTGAGTGATTTCCCACATGGACCAATACCTCTCTGCCACAGAGACCCACAGCCTGGTGTGGGTGACAGGAAAGTCATGCTGCTTCCACCTCTGAGTGCGTGGTCCTTGCCCGGAGGACAGCCTTTGGAAAACAGTCTAGCTTCCATTCTTCCCCTCCTGAGCCCTGAGAACACGCCATCCTTCAGGTTCACAGTAGATCCTTCATACACATGGCCAACAAGCACATGAAAAAATGTTCAACATCACTCATCATCAGAGAAATGCAAATTAAAATCACTATGAGATACCACCCTATCACAGCCATAATGGCCATTACTAAAAAGTCACAAAACAATCGATGTTGGCATGGCCATGGTGAAAGGGAACACTTATACAGTGCTGGTGGGAATGTAAATTTCCACCCTATGCAAAACAGTATGGAGACTTCTTAAAGAACCATTCAATCCAGCAATCCCACCACCGAGTAAAGGCAAAGAAGTCATTCTATCAAAAAGATACCCGCATGTGTACATTTATCGAAGCACAATTCACGATTGCAAAGATACGGAACCAACTTAAGTGCCCATCAACCAATGAGTGGATAAAGAAAATGTGGTGAAATCCTGTCTCCACTAAAAATACAGAATATTAGCCAGGCATGGTGGCAGGTGACTATAATCCCAGCTACTCCAGAGGCTGAGGCAGGAGAATCACTTGAACCCGGGAGTGAGCCAAGATCACGTCATTGCACTCCAGCCGGACAGAGTGCGACTCCACCTCCAAAAAAAAATAAAAAGA